CCGTTAAAAGGGGTTTCCCCATCCTGATTATAGATAATCCAGATTAGCTTTTTAGAGTGGTCTTCCACAGCAGTGAAAGGAAGGAAACATTCTGTCCATTCTATATTTAAACTAGGATTAATTCAGCTTAACACTAGATTAAATATTATCAAATTGTGACATAGGACTTTGATTAACTCCATCCTGAGAATAAATATGCCAAAATATACGCATGTGCTTAAAATCCCAGTCAAAAGAACTATATAGTATAATGGAGATTTCTTTGTATCTAACCCCACTATGGAATAAAACACAGATTTCCATCTCATAGCTTGCACATTTAGTTGGGGTTAAGAGTCACAGTTTCAGTATTCACTTGCACAGCTACCCATGGATCAAACTAGATATAACGGCCAAAGCAAAGTGATAATGAATCAGACTACCGAGTAATGGAAAATACCTCTATAGTTATCACAGTATTTGATGTCCTAAAAGCTGTTCTGCCATAAAGCTAAAAATAGTTTACAAATGACATTTTATTAATTTGTTGGTCTGAATACAATATTGATAAATATTTTAAACTCTTATAGGACACTTTTCATTGATTACATGCTGCTAACAGAAGAAGGCTACTTGACTAAATTACGCCTAAGGAAAATACGTTTCTGTTAGGCATCTAATTTATAAACCATGTCCTACAAGGTTTTAAAATGAACACATTCAAGATGTTCCAGGCAATAACTATCTCAGCAACTCTGTTTTGGCAGCAGTTGGTGTTCATAAATGTGTAAATTTAATCGTAGTATGTAGTCTTAGCCTCTGCTATCCCAACGCATAACCCTGTAGAGTCCAACTAAAAATAAGGCCTTCATGTTTGTCTTGTAAAGCCGTTTAAAATAACTCATAAAAAACAGGTGTTCAGAACACCGACCGGGCTGCATTTTATGCTGACTGCACCAATCTATAAGAGGGAAGCATCAACTACAATTTTTTAAATTGTTACCAATTTCTTTGTCTTGGTCTTATATCTTATAAGAGCCAAAGATAAGGATCAAATCCCAAGGTTATAGGCACAAGCAGTAGAAACTTTGGAGGTCTGGAAACACATTAGTACTGCTTCAGCTGCTCCAGTTGAGGTGACAGTTGAGGTGGTCTGAACATATATATGTTTTCTGGAAGGCTCAGTCAATCAAGCACCATCAATTAACTAACAGACCCCAGTGCAGACACAGAGCTGTCATGGAGAATCTTTGAAAGTCCAGCAAGAACATGAGACCTAAGCTGGTGAGATAGTCCAAATTGATATGCTCGGCTGGATTTTTCCATTTCAAACCCCATTAACATAAAAACCATAAAACTGAAGTTATTTTGTGTGTTTTCAATATAAATAATTTAAATCATTTTGCAGAGCTTCGTTTTCACCTTGACACGAAAGAGTCTGTTGATCAGTGTCAATGAAAAATGAAATCCACTGTGTTCTGTGCTAAACATTAAACTTTCAAGGATATGGATATTTTTTTCATAGGAACTATGTGATAATGATGATATTAGTGTGCAGCACAATGAAACCAGGAATACATCTCAAAGAAATATTATCATGAAAAGCAAATCAATTCTCTTGATACCTAGCACAGCTGTCCAAAACATCAAACACTGCAGAAAAAGAGTGCTTTCAGCAGAACTGTGTTATTACAGAGAATCCTTACTGTATAGAACTACTGTGCACAAGTGTGTGATCTGCTAGATTATATATCACATTAATGATGAAAACAAAAGATATTAGCTTCACTTTGGACGCTTTACAATTCTCTCAGTTACATTCCTTACATGCCTCCTGAAATTTCTCTTCCTATTGATATCAGCAGCTGTGTCACTTGAAATATTATCATGAAGACATCTGTGAACAGTAATGACGAATACTATATTAGCTTTGCTATGACAGTACACTGATATTTATTGTCCTTACTGACCCCAACAGGCACCATTAACCAGTTGTGGACACTTAATGCGCTACACATGCTCCAAAAAAACTTCATAAAAAGTACACATGTAGTAGGCCGTGTCATCCTACTACTTGCCACTCCCCTACCCACAATTCCTGGCTGTCAATATGACAGTCCAGAGTTGCTATGTAAATGCAGCAGCTATTATAGCAGCTGCTGACAAAAAAATGGACCTTTCGACAGTGTTTAGAGACGCAAGATACGGTTTCATTCATCTGCAGATCAAAGTGATAAATGTTGATCTGCATATGATGTTACGATTTCTGTTTTTCTAAGCATTAATATTTTGACTTTTTTTTTTATTTGATTTGTTCATTCATTTGTATAATGTCATATTAAAAAGAATTTCATTTTAAATAACTTTGCAAGGATTTGTACCAGAATCATAACTTTAATGTCATTTTAAATAGGACAAATTATATATAATTATAAACACAGATTGTGGGAAAACACATTTTTTCATTTTATTAAGATTTTTGTCTGTGGATTGCATAAGATATAAAATAACATTGATGTACATTTTTTTACTTGAAGTACATTGAGGAACACGGGAATTTTAAAAAAATTGCATTATACTGCCTCTTAAGAAACATTTGGGACACTGGTAAACAGAAAAAACATTGTAAGCTAGTCCCCATTTAACCCCTTCTCCAGTCTTCATGCCTGAGTTTTGTGAGCATTTACTACATAGGGCCAATAAACATAGAATCTTATTTACTTTATCACCCATTGAGGGAAACAACAATTCTGAAACAGTTTGGATGTCCAAAAGCAATCCAGCTAAGGGCTGGACAACAGCCACTAAGAGGTCCAATAAATGTAGAAACCATTCCACAACAGAATATCTGAAGGAATCAACTCCCAAATAAAACTAGATGTAGAAATGGCCATGCAAAATGTAGGAATTGCCCTGACCAAGGGGATCATACCAAGGATCAACCTGGTGCTCCAGACCAGAAAAGAGAATCACCACTAAGGAGAAAAACTGCTACCTGAAGAAGCCATGGACCCCAAGGACCAACTAACTATCCATCAAAATTAGTGGAAAGCAAAGTATCCCAATATCAAGTAAACTAGACCAACAACAAATTGTGATCACCAAAAAAATTTACTAAGCCAAATTTCAGGAAACAGATCTCTAACGTGAAGTGTGGGCAGACAAGCTACATCCAAATGATCCAAATGGGAGACCCTGCAATGAGATGTATGTATGCGAGATCCTCACAGTGTAACATTCTAAATGACCAAGAGGCTGGTAGAAATTGAGGTCTGAATGCTCTTAAAAGATGGTGTAGGGTGATAATGGCATCTGCACAGGGTAGGGCATGAATGAAGGCATGCTATAGCCCAGATTGGTGTACAAGAATACCAGGTTAAGAACGAAGAAAAGAGGGTTCTTTCAAACAAACACCCGGAATGTTCCTGGGGTGTGATAGACCCCATGCAAACCTACCTAACTGCTTACCAACTGTATGATTTTAAGAATCATTAAACCTGCTAGTGAATTAAATAGCATTCTTCACTGAGGGGTGAGTGGTAGGAATTCTAGTGCTACTATTAGGAATTTCTGCCTGGTTTGTAGGACAGAGTAATGAAAGGAAACTAAGGAGATGCTCTGTTCAAAGCACCAACCCACAGAAGATAACCCTGACAACTCAGAGAATGTTCTGGAGAAGCAGACTCAAGGGCCCGGTAAGATGATATTCCCTTAAAGGGGTCCCCCGCAAGGTGGGAGGATGGAACCATCCGAATCCACACCAGTAACAGACAAATAGAACCTGTAACTTCTCAGTCTAAAGAGACCATTGTGGGCTCTTGTCTAAAGACTATACTCCCTAACATTCAAAAGGACTGAAAGACCATGCTAGAAGGGCATTCCCCAGGAATATCACTAACCCTGAAAGGGGAAGGTAGGGAGAAATCTGCTACATATAAAGAAGAGGTCAAAGGTCTACAGTGAGTGGTTGTCCTTCGAGATAATTGAGGATGCTGCAGGGTCAGGTCCTTACCAAGAAAAAAAGGAGTATTGACTGTTCCCTGTTGACACTGTGGATCAGGAGTTCCCTCCAAAGAGTGACAAGTGACAAGGCTGAGGAATGTCAATTACCATAAAGGGGTAACCACATTTGAGGAAATAGGACTCCCTTGTGGGACGGAGTCCTAGTCAGATTTCAATACCAAGGATAGGCCATTGGCTCTAGCTTCTCTCAGTCACAGCCAGTTTGCAGGGAGTGGGGAGCAGGACTAAGCAATTCTCTGTGTGATTCATAGACACACAGAGCTGGCTCAGGAGCAAGCACACACAAGTGTCTCCAGGGCAAACAGCTTGCTCTGGTGGCACTTGGCAAAGAGGAGGGGCCAAAAGCTCTGGTGGCAGACTCAAGAAAAGGAGGATCAGGGCTACTCTGTGATTAACCATTGCACATAGCAGGTAAGTATGATGTGTTTATTATTTTAAAGAAAACAAAATGAGCCTTAAGAGCCATTTTAAATTATAGCCTGTATATAGCTGTTTCTACAGCATCCCCAGAGAGCAAACTAGTTAGATCTTATAGGTGATAAAACTGTAGATACTTTGCACATGAGATCATAGGAACAGCTTGTTTACGAACACTGTAAAAGCAAAATGCTAAAACCTAGTCGTGAAATTTGGTTGTGTGATGAACTTCATGGATGTGATACACTTTATCAGCTGCCTAGTGAAAATTTGGCCTCTTTGTACTTTAAAACATCTGACGGAAGGAAGAACACAGGGAGGATACATTGTAAAGGTAGCTAGGCTTAGGTGAGTATGGAGAAAACATTGCTTGTATTGTTTGGAATTCCAAAAGAAGCCCTACCCACCTGATTTTGTTACCAATCACATACAATCTACTGTATGTGCATGGTATTGTCATCATAAAGAACATCACCATACGATATGAATTAAACAACACTCAATATGAATTAAACAATCACTGGGTCCTGGCCGGATTGCCAAGGGTCTCCGATGGGGGGGGGGGGGGGGGGGGAGAGAACTGTTAGTAAACAAAACAGTTCTCCTCCCTGTCAGCCTCTTCACAGTGCTTTGCATGGCTGTGCACAGCACTGTCATGCAAAGCAGTGTGTTTACAGTGAAGCACACAGACAGCACATAATGTAAAACAGCACACAGTTAACCCTTTGATCGCACCTGTCAGAGCCTTTGATCGAACCTGGGCCTTCTGCAGTGAGAGGCAAGGTTTCTTCTCGCTGAGCTACCTGGGATGCTGGAATATGGTCTGCCTGATCTATTGGATAATCCTGACTTGTGCCTTGTTCTCTCTTGAACCTTGAACTCCTTGCTCCTCCCATGAACTTCCTATAAAAGCCATGTCCATGCACTTCCTCCTTGCCAGATTATTGTGCCTTCCAGCCAATATACAGCTTCTCTGTCCTGCTGCCGTCTATATCTTCGCTACCGACCTTTGGCTTTGTTACTGACTACGATGTTGCCGCATCCTAATCTACTACGATTTGTGACTGACCCTTGGCTTGTGATTGACTCTGTGTCAAGGTCCTACCTTTTCCCAGAGATTGTGCGGCTTCATGTACTGGCGTCCATCTTGGGTTTCTGCAGAGCATGGTGGGAGTCTTTTATGCCTTCAGGTCTCTGAGGTCCATCCCCCAGAGGGGTGTGGCTGAGTACATATAAGCCTGTGATCCGCACATGCTCTTTGCACTTGTGTCTTATGTCTTTGTGTTGTTACAGCTCTGTATATACTCTCGTGACTCTTCTGGTATCTGACTTGGCTTGTGACTAGACCATTCTCTGTGGTTTCCTTTGATCTGACCTTCCGTTGCTGAACTCGGCCCGTGACCTGTGATTCTTGTCTACTGTTCTGTGCCGTTTTGTCCGTTGTTGTCGACCCGGCCTGCCTGACTACGCTATTGTCATTCCTACCAGCTACACGCCATTGGCGGCGGCCATTACCGCAGCCGGGGTGTCTTGGGGGCCGCGACCTGGTTCCTGGCTGCTTCAAGTCCATCCCCACCATCAGGGGCCCTGGTGAAGGGCAGCCTGGGACTTAGACTCCACACCCTGAGGGACTTCGGTCCGTTGGTGGTGGTTGTCGTCAGTCAGTGCGTTACCCTGCCACTAGGCTACCTGTCTGTTCCACAGCCCTGCCCTGACACTCCGCTTTTGTCTGATCCCTTAACTGTTTGATCCACTATTGGTTTCCAGTTGTTTATTCCCTGCTGCGGTGATCCTGATATCTGCGACCTGGTATTAACACGCAGCCAAATCCATCTCCACCATTAGGAGCTCTGGGGAAAACCGGTTAATACTTAGACCCCGCACCTCAGATGAGCCTGCGTCATTCCCAGGGTGATCCGCTGGTATACCTACCCTGCTGGTTTCAGGTAAGCCTTACACTGCTGTAGCAACTGGTCTCTGAACCTGACACAGACCGTGACAGCACCACATGTTAACCCGTTCATGCTCAGTGCCATTAGTACAGTGTCAGTGCTTTTTATTAGCACTGATCACTGTACTGGTGTCACTGGGGATGTCAGTGTCACCAAGTCAGTTCCCCCCAGTGTCAGAATGCCCACCGTAGTCCCGCTATAAGTCGCTGATTGCCACCATTACTAGTAGAAGAAAAAAGCCTAGCCATTTGTAAACACTATAACTTTCACGTAAACCAATTACTTTACACGTATTGGGATTTTTTTTTTTAGCAAAGATGTAGCAGAATACATTTTGGCCTAAATTTATGATGAAATTTGATTTTTTCAGTTTTTGTACTGGACATGTTTAATATAAAAAAGTCAAAAATATATTTTTTTTCCTCAAAATTGTCGGTCTTTTTTTTTTATAGCACAAAAAATAAAAACCACACAGGCAATCAAATACCCCGGAAAGAAAGCTCTATTCATGGGAAAAAAAGGACGTAAGTTTCATTTGGGTGCAGCGTTGAATGACCTCGCAATTGTCAGTTAAAGTAACGCAGCGCCGTAATGCAAAAAAATGGCCTGGTCTGGAAGGGGGGTAAATTAGGGTAAAAAACATTTTTAAGTACTTTGTGCTCCCACTTCCCTGTGTGAAGGAGAAGAGAGGGGAGAAGACATCAGCGCTGTGCACGGCTGCATCTCTTCTATCCTCACTTCCTTTTCACACAGGGACTCAAACAGCAGCAGGAGCCATTGGCTCTTACTGCTGTCAATCAAGTGCGGTGAAGAGGAAGTGGGGGGGGTGGGGCTAAGTCCCGCTGTGTGTGTGTCTATAGAGTGCAGCTCCGTAGATGCACAGGTCGGGAGCAAGCAAGCGGCATTTGGTCCCAGACCAAACGGCTTGCAATGGGGATACACAAAGAAGAGGAGAAGCCAGGATCGCAGGCGGGGGAGCAGAAAAGAGCAGGATCAGGGCCGTTCTGTGCAAAACCACTTCACAGAGCAGGTGAGTATAACATGCATGTTATTTTAATTAAAAAAAAGTTTTGCCTTTAGTAACACTTTAAGAATATTGCAGAAACATAGCATACTGCATATATTAATAAAAAAAAACAAAAAAAACAAGAGGAACTGGGAAGTGAAAATGTTGACTACAGCGACCAATCAGATCAATTCATGCTCTAACTTGCACTAGAGAGGTGACAGATGGAATACTATAGGCTGCTGTGGCCAGTTAACGTTTCCTTTGCAACAGTGTTTTACAATTCAGTAGTGTGAGAAACCTCACCAACAGGATGTAGAGGTTGAAACTTTTGCTAGGTTTTAATTGCTAATAGTATCCCCATTGGGGAGATATACTCTCTCTTCCTGTTCCAGTGACAAGAGTATCAAAAGAAAGGGAAGTGCTGTAATATCTCATTGATAGGGACAGAAAGAGGAATAAACGTATAATAAAAGTATAATGCAGAAATACATGAATACATAAATATCTAATTGTCCCAGTGATGCCAGCACCCTCTTATTTCTTGTCCTGAGCACACAATTGGCATTAAAAACTTGACAAATGTTCTGACTCTAGCTTGCTTTATTTAAAGCTAAAAAAAAGATCAGGATACAGTTGGACATTATGTATTTTTTATTTGCAATTTATTTAAAAAGATCTACATTATGAGTTTATTGTAAAGACTATTTATACCTAATTGCATGTCACTTTAGTTGGAGAAAGGTGTCCTAGTATGAACTAACAAATAAAAAAAAATATTTTTATTAAAAATGTAGATGTTTCCTGTGGAGAGTTTAGCTTAGAGCTATCCATAAACAATTTTGATTCATGTTTGCAATGAGAACGGATCCTGAATATGAAATATCCAAAGAACATGTAATATAATGAAAGTTAAAATGATAATTAGACCTGATTAGTTTTCCATACCATTAAGTTTTATGAGTCACAGGTCTAAAGAGAGAAACATTAGATTAAGAGATAACTTTGCTTTTTACATTAGTCAGGGTTCAGTTACAGAAATAAATACAGTAAATGAACACAAGGACTACTTTGTACTACATTTCCAAAGCTTTCTTTAGTAAATTTAAACTGTTTATATAATAAAAGTAACTTTGCATCCAAACTACCCCCTCCCATAGTAGCAGGGGTACTAATTAGCTGGGGATCTATTGAGTGGGAGTACTACTGAGCCGGGGTTCTTCTGGACCCCTTAAAAAATAGAAAATCAACAGACACACAGGGCATTTGCAAAGCATCACAAAAAGCATCAAAAACATATCCAAAAAAGCAAAGTCAAAACAAGTGTAAATGAGTCCTAAAAGCAATCTAAAAAAATTCCTATCCCCCCTGCAAAGTTGATCAAAGACCTCCAAATTTGGTGAAGGATAAGAACAATAATGAAAACTTAAGGGGTTAGTTCACAGGTTTACAGAAAAATAAATATGTATAGGCAACTGAAGGCAGATGTTCAATTTATTTTGCCCGATGCTGCAACAGCGGGACATGGAGTGCAGTCAGAGTCCCGGGCACTGGGCAGGTAGACATCCCAAGAATATTGCTACACTGAAAACAGTTTTGTTGAAGAGGAGTGGTTTGCAACTACAGGAAATGTTTGGTTGAAGGTTAATTTTTTTACCTTTAGCCCCCTGCTGGGCAAGCAGTTTTGAGGGCTCACCTGTCAAAGGTGGAAACATTTGGGTGGCAGCGCTGCTGCAGCGATGTTTTCTTCCACATAGCCACATTTTATGGTGCCAAACTCCACCCCCCCCAACTGTTCACTCAATGGTTTGCCCGATGCCCGGGACATGCAGTCCCGGGCACTGGGCAGGTATGCTTAACCTTTAGCCCATCTTCATTTGGGTGGGGCCTGGGACCAGCCCCCCCCTTCAGTGGCTGCTGCTGGCGGGTATAGGGGAGGGAGGAGAGTGGACACATCCACTCCCCTCCCCCTCTTGTCCTGACCCAAAAATGAGGTATCACCTCCTACGGGTCCCCATTGACAGATTCCCGGCCATCGAGGCCAGGAAAGAATGTAATGCAGTGCAATGTACACTGCATTACATCCAGTGGAGTACAGGGAAGACATACAGGCTTTTTTAGACCCTGGATGTCTCAATAAAGAGAACCTGTCACCAAAAATCATCAGATAGGGGACTTTTTGTCCCCTATATGATTAAAAAAACAAGTTTTTTTTATTTTTTAAAAATTTAAGTTACACCCAAGCATATACCCCCCCCCCAAAAAAAAAATAATTTGTCAAGGCTCCCCACCCCCACATATGTACGCATATACAAATGTAAAAGCGCTGGGGTGCCTACGCATGAAAACGACAATTGCGATACATGTTACATATTGCCGCGCAGAATGAGAGCAGTAATTCTAGCAGCAGATCTCCTCCGTAACACTAAACTGATGACCTATAGGGGCTTTAAAAGCATCACCTATAGAAAATATAGGGTACTAAAGTTTTTTGCCATTTCACGGGCGTGTGCAAATTTAAGGTTTGACATGTTGGATATCTATTTACTCGATGCAACCTTGTTTTTTATATTTTACAAAAAAATTGGACCTTTGTGATATCGTTTGACATAAAAAAATTGGACCTACCACTATGTTATTTTCCAGGGTCTCTGATTTTCAGAAAAAATATTATGTTTGGGGGTTTTGTGTAATATTCAGGCCTAAATGATTTTTTAAACGTGTGCAAAAAATGCAAAGACAGCTCTGGCAGCGAAAAGGATAAAGGATAAGCCTGACACTCCCCTTTCCTGAGGAGCACCCAATCAGTGCTCATTACACTACAAGGTCTCTCCCCTCCCTGTTAGTCCCCAGGTGCGGTGCTGGAGGCAGGAGGAGGAGGAGATAAAAAGAGCAATGTTAAAATAATAAAACGCTTAAATCGCCATAAAGCCCCTTTTGTTTTTAAAAGCCCCACACATTAGTTAAAGCAGATTTAAATACGGTTTTAGTTATGAGGGACAAGTAGATTGGGACACCGATTTAGTCCCTGGACAAGTAGTAGTAATTTGTAAAACATTTCCACACCCCTGATGGGTGATATAGATTTTCCCTTCTCGACAGAATTGCCCTTTTAAATCATTTTAGAAAAAGTCATATTTATCTGTTCAAAAGGAAAATCCCTCTCTCCCCGATTCATAACTAGAAACAACTGCAAACGCATTATGGACAGTGATAATCTCTGCAGAGGATTCCCTCATAAGTACATTTTCTGCTTTTATTTCTAGGTAGTGATGTAACAAAAGCCAGAAGGGGACCACCATGTAGATTGACATATTTGCTTCATTTCTAAATACATGTCAGATGCTGAGCTGCAGAAAAGGCTGGAGAGAAAAATCAGTTCAGGATTATCACAATGATAAATATTTTATGAGGATGTACCTACAGTTTATGTATTTGTTTACATTATCCCTTATTCTGTCTAGGATCTCAGGTAAATCCAGCCAGCTATATCCACAAGCCCTCACTGTGGTTTGTACATATACATCACTGTAGTAACTGTGACACCAGCATACTTATCCCATGCTACATGTACACTGTGTGTGTGTGTGTGTGTGTGTGTGTGTGTGTGTGTGTGTGTGTGTGTGTGTGTGTGTGTGTGTGTGTGTGTGTGTGTGTGTGTGTGTGTATATATATATATATATATATATATATATACATACATATACATACACATACACATACACATACACACACACACACATATAATATATATATACATACATACATACATACATACACACACATGCATACATACACATATACATACAATGCCTTTAAAAAGTATTCGTACATTGAAATTTTCCACATTTTGTCATGTTACAACCAAAAACGTAAATGTATTTTATTGAGATTTTATGTGATAGACTAATACAAAGTGGCACAGAATTGTAAAGTGGAAGGAAAATGATAAATGGTTCTCAAAATTTCTTACAAATAAATATCTGAAAAGTGTGGCATGCATTTGTATTCAGCCCCCTTTTACGCGGATAGCCCTAACTAAAATCTAGTGGAACCAATTGCCTTCAGAAGTCACCTAATTAGTAAATAGAGACCACCTGTGTGTAATTTAATCTCAGTATAAAAACAGAAGTTCTGTGAAGGCCTCAGAGGTTTGTTTGAGAACATTAGTGAACAAACAGCATCATGAAGGCCAA